ACAGATTGGATGACAATACATTTTGTGTTCTCCTTCCCTCTTCCCCCCCATATCCCCCTCTACCTTTTGTACTCCTTACCTTATCCCTATTTGTTAAAAATAAAAAACAAATTTAAAAAAAGAATGGCTGATCTAGATCAATGTCTGAACACTTTTTGTTTAAATACAGACCAAATAAATACTATCCACTGGATTCTCAATAATAAAGTGCAGATACAGTGGTGCCTCGACTTAAAAACACCGGTACCTACAAACATTTTGACTTATGAACAGCTCTGCTCGCAAGTCGAAGAAAATTTTTCTAGGTATGAACGAAAAAAGGCAGGGGGAAAAGGCGGTAAATTCAAACCACTGCCTCTGCTGCTGCAGAGGTGAGCTGCTGGTCCATGCCGGCCAGACTTTGCCTCCCGTTCCTGCTGCCCTCTGCCTCCTGTCCCCGCTGCCTCCGCTGCTGCGGGAGGCGAGCCACTGGACCATGCTGGCCGGGCTCTGCCTCCTGTCCCCGCTGTCCTCTGCCTCTCGTCCCCGCTGCCTCCGCCACTGTGGGACATGAGCTGCCGGACCATGCCAGCCAGGCTCTGTCTCCTGTCCCCGCTGCCTCCACCGCTGTGGGAGGCAAGGCGCCGGACCATGCCGGCCAGGCTCTGCCTCCCATCCCTGCTGCCCTCTGCCTCCCATCCCCGCTGCCTCCGCTGCTGCGGGAGACGAGCCACTGGACCATGCTGGCTGGTCTCTGCCTCCTGTCCCCGCTGTCCTCTGCCTCCCATCCCCGCTGTCTCCGCCACTGTGGGAGGTGAGCTGCCGGACCATGCCGGCCGGGCTGTGTCTCCTGTCCCCACTGCCTCTGCCGCTGTGGGAGGCAAGGCACCGGACCATGCCGGCCGGGCTCTGCCTCCTGTCCCCGCTGCCCTCTGCCTCCTATCCTTGCTGCCTCTGCCACTGTGGGAAGTGAGCTGCCGGACCATGCCGGCCGGACTCTGCCTCCCGTCCCTGCCGCCCTCTGCCTCCCGTCCCCACTGCTTTCTGCCTCCCATCCCTGCTGCCTCCACCGCTGTGGGAGGCGAGACGCTGGACCATGTCAGCCAGGCTTTGCCTCCCGTCCCGCTGCCCTCTGCCTCCCATCCGTGCTGCCTCCACCGCTGTGGGAGGTGAGCTGCTGGACCATGCCGCCTGGTCTCTGCCTCCTGTCCCCACTGCCCTCTGCCTCCCATTCCCGTTGCCTCCACCGTGGGGAGGCAGAGGGCAGCGGGGATGGGAGGCAGAGCCCAGCTGGCATGGTTTGGCAGCTCGCCTCTGGGAGCGCCGGAGGCAGCGGGGTAAGGTGCTGCTTTTTGCTTTTTAAAAACTATTCTGTTTTTACAGTATATTATTTTAAATTTTTTGATTTTTAAAAAAATGCTGGAACAGATTAATCCAGCATTTCAATGGGAAATGGTGCTTCGACCTATGAACCTATGAACACCACTCCATTACAGATTAAGTTCATAAGTCGAGGCACCACTGTACTATTACAGTGAAGAATGCAGACTTATCTCAACCAAAAGATTTTTTATGAAGTTTCCAATGAGGTAACCCTGCTAGTTTGTTTCAGGATGTTAACCAAAAAAACAATGTGTGAGAGAGGTTATTGTGGCAACTTGCATACTAACATATTTATTTCTGTATGAACTCAACATCCATTTCTCCATGTGAATTTTCTCTTCCCCTGCTTTTTTTTGGGGGTGTGTGTAGCACTACATATCTTCCAGTTCTTTTAAATATAATCACTGCAGAAATAAGTATTATCATTTAACGATATTAAGCCCTACTTAATCTTCATCAGTGATATAGACTGGCCAAACCTAAAAGTCTTTTCTAGTAATGAACTCTGATGATCAAGTGACCTCTGGTGGAGGCTATTGGAAACAATGCATAGTTTTGTCCAGATTGCCAGAGTTACCAAAGAGATATAACAATAGACCATGGAGATGGAAGTTTACTTCTCATTATCCTCTCTCATCTGCTATTCTCAACAGAAAGCTCTTTCTGTCAGGTGAAACACTAGTTGCCTCTTTTCTACTCTGATAAGGCCAAAAGACACAACTCTAGCAATCCCAAACTATACTGCCATGTTGGAAAATAGCAACTAGACATGGGGACGAATAAAAACACAGATTACGATATTTGTGAAAAATTACTGAGTCATTAAATATTTGTCCGTTCATATTCGTCAGTTCCAGAGACCCCAACGAATATGAAGGGATAAATATTTCCCAATTTTTATTTGTCCCCCATATGAAAAGGAAGGCTAGCCTTCCCTCTTTTCCTATGGCTTTCCCATTCTGCTTATGGGCCCGCCAATCAGCGGGCCGACAGGCAGCCAGCCAGCCCCACAGCGACTTACCCCCACAGCATATCCCCGCCTCCTTTCCTTAGCCGCTATTGCCATCCACCACTGCCTGGCTCCACTGTCATCTACTGCTGCCTGCTGCCACTGCCATCCATTGCCACCCACTGTGGTGGCCTCCGCAGCCACAGCCTGCCAGAAGGAATACTGGCTGCAGCCGCAGCTTCTTTTAGGGCAGAGAAGTTGCAGCTGTCACCTTTGCAAAGGGCAGCTTTTTTGTGAGACGCGAGGCGAGGGGATAGAAGCCCTCACTAGAGTGTCGTCCTCCCTCAGGAAAGAACACGAGGCGCAAATAGACCCGCTTCCATCACCCGTCGAGACGGTACAACGGGGAGTCAACACTCGTGAGTTAGAATGGGGCTTGGCTAAATTGACTGTAGCCACTCAGACAGAGAGGGAAATGGCGGGAAAAGAAGGGGCAGAACCACCATGGAGGCGGGAATGGGGGATATAAAAGGGGCAAGAGATGATATCCCAGGTGGCTGGGAACTAAAATGGGTGGAAGTGGACCCATGGACCGGGAAGTGTGAAAAGGTCCAGGTTCCCAGGGAGGAGGCAGACTACGGAAGAAGAAGGGGGCTGCCTCCTCAACCTTCTCATTGGGGGGAATCTGAGGAGTGTGAGTGGTGCCGGAGACTGAGAGAGGAGAAAGAAGCCGTAGAGAGAGCTGAAAGAGAAAGGCGAGCATGGAGGCTGGAGGAAGCCCGACGGAGAGGGTACCTGCCAGACCCTGGGCTCCCATATGAGGAGATGAGGACCCCTTTGACCCAGAGGGGAGAGACGAAGAGACAATACCATTATTAGACACAGGGACTGACCCTCTGGACTTGGATGATAGTAATCCATTTACCAAGGGACCCTGGAACGATTTGGATTATAATCCATTTACGAAGGATTTTTGGTTGCCCTCATGGGACCCGTTGGCAGTGAGAGACAATGTAAAACCTAGTCTAGGAAATAAGGATTTATTGTCTGAGTTACCAAAAAAGCACAGTTTCGATTTTCCAGCTCAAGAACCTCTGGCGTCTGTGTCAAAAAATAGAGGGGGCCCCAGGTGAACCCTCACTTTTACAAAGATGGAGACTGCAGCTTCTCTTAGGCAGGGAACCTGCAGCCGGCATCTTTGCAAAGGGCAGCCTAGATTCCCTTAAGGCAGGCCATAGCGGCAGAGGCCATAGCAGCAAGCAGTGCTGGATGGTGACTGCGGAGGTTGCTGTGGCACAGGCCTCTGCAGATGGCGGCGGCAGCAGTGCAGACTGCGGCAGCCAAGGAAGGAAGGTAACAGGGGTAGTGAGAAGGCGGCAGGGGGGCAGGCTGTGGGGGCAGGGTTGTTTATTTTTAGACAGCCTCTGGCTGTCTAACCCCCCCACGTATCGGCGAATACTTTCATGTTTTGTTGGTTCATGGGGAGGAAATTTGTGCTTCATCAACTTTGACGGATCACAAAGCATGACGACTCACCAAAATGGTAATTCGTCCCCATCTCTAACAGCAACACAATGGAAAGATGTATGTATTCTGTCTCAGCATCAGATCCTCTTATAGGCAAGAAAAGTACAAATGCACAGTTGTCACAGTACTGTGCTACTGTTACTGAGCACGTCTATCCAACCATAAAGCTGAAAAGAAACAGCTGAACTTTACACTGAAGTGCTCAAGGTTACAATCACACAACAAGGGAACTGCAAAATCACTGGTTGCATTAACTGGCCACACAAGGAGAGACGAAGAAATTGGCTGATAGCCTTGCCTGCAGCTTGTTAACTTTGCTGTTTTGTAACCCTACATGAGCCACAGTTATAGGGAATAACCTAACAAGCTATAAAGAACAGTTGCATTGCAATTTCTTTGTTCTCTAAATTTACTTTTTTTAAAAGTCTGGGAAGGAACATCACATTTTTGAGGCATGGCCATCGCTGACACCTCCAAAATGGTTTAAAGCTAGGTTTTTAGTGAAATCTCATCATTGTTTTGTGATAAAAAAAAAAATCAGTTATAAAATGATACTGATTTCTGGTAGAATCTTAGTATTTGGCATAGTTTTTTGTTTTCCATGACTAAGCCATTTGAAATTAGCTTTTCTATGTGAATACAGTGCTTGGCACATCATCTTATGGTGGCAAAGGAATGGAGACAAGGAACTAAGTGTTTGATACTCTGAGGTTAAGGTTGATAATCAAATGCAGAATGTTCTGTTATTCTCAAGTCTGTATAGGTAAGGTCCAGTGAAAGTTGTTGTTCACTAGTTCAACAATAAACATGACATGGATTTCTGGTAAATAATTTTAGGGTATAACCACATTACCATTTGAGTGGTATGCAACCTAGGCCATATTGCTCACTGATTAATTTTGCCCAGACATCATTTCTCCACATAATCTGCTTCAACTGTACGTTGTCGCAAATCCAAGGGTGGAAGGAAGGATATCATATAGTCCACATTGAACTCATTGAGGAAAGGTGGTTAAAATACAATAATTACAGTGATGTAGCTATCGCAGTTTAATTCATCCTCAAACTGATACTACTGTTCTGTAAAATTAGTTCTCTAATCCATTTTCCCATATGCTACATTTAAAAAATTTCTAACAAATGCATTGGCAAGGAATATTACCTCTATAACTGGAACATTATCTTTAAGTTGAATTGTATGCAACGCCAGTAAACCAATCACTCGGGTAGCTTTGGCACGTCTGTAATGAAATGCAGTTATTAAATTTATAAACAGTACAACTCTACAAATACAGAAACTACCTAAGGCTTATTTTAAATGTTATATAAAGTGGTCAGCTAACTAACTCTAAGATTAACTGCAAGTTCTCAATAACTTCATTAGCACCAAATACTTACAGAATCATCTCACTGTATTGCTAGGCCAAACTACATTTTCAAATAGAGTAATGTGACAGCCACAAAACTGTGACAATAAGAAAACTAAATGTTTCACTTGGTTTCTGAATAGCAGCAAGATGAGCACATTGGAATTAGGAAGATATAGTACTGTGTGATCAGGCTAAAATTAGATCACTGATACATTTTATTATGAATTTCCTGTTAAATGCACAATGTGATACAAAAAGCCAATTAGGATTCTTCATTGTGTGTGCCTGGTGCGGTGGGACAGACCAACTTTGTGCCCACTCAAAACCTCAAAATTTCTTTCTCAGCTGTAGCAGTGATAAAAACAGATGAATCTCACACAGAACCTTGGAGTGGGACAGAAAGCTCAGGAAAAGAGAGGTCACTTACCTGTAACCGTGGTTCTTCTAGTGGACCTCTGTGAATTCACACAAGTGGGTTATTCTGTGCCTGCGCGGGATGTTTCAGAACTTTCTAGAGTCTGAAAACCATTTTACAATGAGACATCCCCCTTGGAGCGCAAGCTCCGCCCTCCAATCTTCCCCTCAGTTCCTTCCACCACTGTTAAAGGATTATGTACGAAAGACAACGTGACAGACAGAGGGGAGGAAGGGAGGGATTGCGTGAATTTACAGAGGTCCACTAGAAGAACCATGGTTACAGGCATGCAACCTTCCTTCTTCACGGCCTCTGTGAATGCACACAATTGGGTGACTGACAACCTCCCTTATTGGATGGTGGGACATCACGGTAGCAGAGATATCAGAATTGCCCTGCCGAATGCAGCATCATTTTTGGCTCTAACATCGAGGCGATAATGCCTCACGAAGGTTGATGGGTTGGTTGGACCAGGTTGCTGCTCAGCAAATAGTATTCCTATTCCACGATGCAGAGTAGTTGATGTTGACAATGCTCTAGTGGAATGAGCTTTCAATTGATCAGGAGGTGTTTTTCCTGAGAGTTCGTATGCCAGTGATATGGTTGTACTATCCATCTAGAGATGGTTTGTGATGATGCTGGAGCACCCTTGCAAGAACCTTGGAAACAAATAATCTTGATGACCTCCTAAATGCTTTTGTTCTGTTGGTGTAGAAGGCCAAAGCTCTTTGGACATCCAACATATGGAGCATGCGCTCAATGGGTGAAGAAGGGGATGGAAATAACGTTGGTAAGAGTCATGCTGATTCATGTGAAAAATCAGAGATTATTTTGGGAAGAAATGATACATCAAAGTAAATGGTAACTTTATCTGGATGAAACTAAGTATGGTGGGTCTGAACGGAGAGCTGCCAATTCACTGGCTCACTTAGCAGATATTATTGTCACCAAGAAAGCTGTCTTCAAGGATAACAGTTTTTCATTACATTTAGCCATTGGTTCAAAAGGTGGTTTAGTGAGGGAGCTTAGAACTAATTGTAATGACCATTAAGATATAATTTGTTGTTTTTTTGGGGGGGGGTTCGAATATTTTGAAGACCTTTTAGGAATCTTTTCAGTCAGGTGTGAAAAAAGTTTTGCTGATTTCGAATGAGAGAGTTGATGAGCTACAATGGCCAATATATAAACTTTTATGGTTGAATATGATAGTCCCAAATTGAAGAGATGGAGAATGAAGGTGAATATTGTTTTAAGGGAAACTGGCATTGCAGTTAAGTTATTTGATTCAGTAAATTTTATGGTTTTTGTGCCCTATTTAAGATGTTTTTGAAGGTGGGAGTATCCTCCATGCCGTCAGATTCAGGGATTGAATGTTGGGATGAAGGACTGATCCATTGTTCTGAGATAACAGGTTCTGTATCAATGGTAGGTGAAATATGTCTGTCACCATCAATCTTATGTGCATGAACCATGGCTGTCGTGGCCACCATGGAGCTATGATTATGGTATTTGCTTGACATTGTCTGATCTGGATAACTGTTTTCTGAATCAGAGGAATTGGGGGGAACAAGTATAACAGTTCTCCCTTCCAGTCTATCATGAAGGCATCTCCCAGTGATTTGGGGTCATTGCCGGCTCGAGAGCAGTATCTTCGACACATGGTGTTTTGATTTGTCGCAAATAGGTCTATGGATGTGTGTCCCCATTGATAGCAAATGTTCTGGAAAATTTGATTGTCTAAAGTCCATTCGTGTGTCCGAGTAGGAAGTCGACTTAAGTGATCTGCTAAATAATTTTCTTCTGTAGAGATGTGAATGGCTACTGAGAAAATGTGATGGTGGTAACACCATTCACAGAGCTCAATGGTAAGGTATAGGAGTGAGAGGGAATGTGTGCCTCTTTGTTTGTTTACGTAGTACATAGCCGTGGTGTTGTCTGTGGCTAGTTGTACTGCTTGTCCCTCGATGCATGGTAAGAATGCTCGGAAAGCTTTTATTATTGCTAGTCATTCGAGATGATTTATATGTAGTGATCTTTCTCTCCTTGTCCATAGGCCATGTAATTCAAGTTCTTGGCAGTGGACTCCCCATCCCGAAGGACTGGCATCAGTTGTGACCTGTATCGACAAATGCGGAAAGGTCTGCCTATTGCTAGGTGTGGAGGGAATTTCCACCAGGTAAATTGATTTGCAAGTTCTGGTGTTACAATGAGCCGTTTCGATTGTTGATCTGTTATGGGGTCGAATAGTGTAAGAAACCATGCTTGCAATGACTTTATCGTGAGCCTTGCATGGTGCACAATGGCCATGGTAGATGCCATGAGCCCCAGTAGATGTTGGGCTTTGTGTAGTGATAACCGATATGATAGATTAAAATAAGTTGATGGCTTGGGTTAATTTGATGATATGTCCTGGAGTTAAGTATGCTCTTGCCTTTAGGGAATTTAGGCAGGCTCCGATGTAGTTGATCATCTGTGATGGTTCGAGGTGAGATTTGGTGTAATTTGCTTTGAGTCCTAATCTGTGTAGGGTAGTTAGGGATATATCTGTGGCTCATACCATCTCTTGGTATGAAGGCGCTACAATCAACCAATCGTCGATGTAAGGGAAGATAGTTATTCCCTGGAGCCAGAGATAAGCTGCAATCAGTGCTATGCATTTTGTAAATGTCCTTGGTGCTGTGGATAGTCCAAAGGGGAGGGCACAAAATTGGTAAGATATGCCATTGAATCAATATTGAAGGAATTTTTGATGAAGTGGGCAAATCGATATGTGAAAGTAGTCATCCTGTAAGTTGATAACCATGAACCAGTTTCCCTGTGAAAGAAGGGGAATAATGGTATAGAGAGTTAGCATACGGAATTTCCATGGCCCAATATACTTGTTGAAGTTTCCTGAGGTCAAGGATGGGGCAAAGTCCCCCATCCTTTTTTGGGACCATGAAATATCATGAGTAAAAGCCGTTATTAGAGAATGATGAAGGGACTAAAATTATGGCTTGCTTTTGTAGGAGTGATGAGACTTCTTCCTGAAGGACAGCAGAAAAAGGGGTAATTCTGATATTACTGGGTGGTGGGGTCTTGAAAAATTTGATTATGTAACCTCTTTTGATTATGGATAAAACCCATTTATCATTGGTGATCTCTTTCCACATGGGTAGGAAGGTATGGAGTCTTGTGTGAAAAGTTGGTTGTAGAAGTTTATGGATATTTCTTATCCTTTCTTTGTTATTTCTGAAAGGGTTGTTTCTTGGGTTGAGATTGGTGGTTTCAAAATGTTTCAGATGTTGATGCTGATGTTGAATGATACGGTATGTACTGAGGTTGTGGTCGATATGGGTGAAAAGGTTGCTTGTGTGGATAGTAATTCTGTTGATAGTATGGTTGTCTTCGATATGGTGTTTTCTGATATCGATAGGGTTGTTGTGCTGTGTATGATTTTGCAATCTTTCTTAATTTGTGTATATTTTCCATGAGTTCATCCATTTTTTTAATTTAACAGTCCTGTGGCATCAAATGGTAAATCTTTGATTCTTGTTTTTGTGTCATCTATGATATTGGATGATCTGAGCCATGCATGTCTCTTGAGCATAATGGAGGTGGCCATTGCTTTAGATGCTGCATCAGCTGTATGCCGTGCAGCTACTCTCTTTTGCTTTGGAAGTGTTGATGCCTCTGTATACATGTTGATTAGATCTGATCTGGTAGTTTCTGATGCAGTTTGGAGTGTGGGTAAGATCTTGTCCCATAGGTGTCTCTGGTAAGCCCCCATGGTGACTCTTATTAGAAATGATGTAAGAGAATAAAGTTTTTGTAACAGCCACCTTATACCTCACAAAGGGGCCGTTACGTCACACTCAATCATTCTTCGTTTCCACTGCCACCAACCATTCCCTCAAATAAAGCTTCAGGCCAAAGTATGATTTCAAAATAAAAACTTAGGTTTATTGTATACAAACAAAAGGAATGGTAAATCACTTGAATATAAATAATAATGCAATCACTATAATAATATAACAATCACACACACACTCTCACAGACCCTCACTATATAGCACAGTTCTTATCTCACAGTATCTCCAAGCCCTATCTCCCTATCTCAAAGCCCTATCTCAAGGCCCTATCTGAATCCCTCACACCATTCACTCCCCTTATATACAACAGCTCCACCCCTTATGTCCC